TCACTCCCCCACACTACACACAGTCACACGCTAACTGGACTCATCATATCCATTATTATCTACAGAAGAGCAATGGGGTCTTCATCCAAGGTGTGGGGGTGGGGGGGCTCAGGTCCCGAACCAAACGAACGAAGGAACGAACCCCCTGGGTGCACTCCCCAAGGCCTATAAGCTTCAGGTGACGCAATTATCAGTAGCCTATCTCGGCTGTCTTGTCCCACACTCTTAGGTCTTAGCTTTTTCTTTATCTTCTTGTTTTTTTTTATTCTTATTACGTATTTGGTGTCACCATTTAGTACTATAGCAGTTGTTTTGAAGTACGTTTCTAATTTTAGATTCAGTACTTTAGGTGTTAGGAGATTATCTGATTAATTGTAGGATCAAATGCATGTTTGCGTGGGCTCCAATCTTTTGGACTACTATATCCCTATTTTTCCTCTCTCTTGTTGCTTATCCAATAATGCTGAAAAAGGCTAATACTACCATGCACCCCTAATTACCATGAAGTAGTACATTTGTTTGAAATTAAACTTATTTGAATCTTTTAAAAATAACACTCTACTGAATGAGTTTGAATAGTAGATTATTTGAAATATTTTTTTTAAAAAATATTGTAGTGCTTTTTTGATGTAATATATATGAAATAAATAAGTGATTAAAAAATATATTAACGATGCAATTAACTAAAAATTAGCAAATAAATTACAATTCAAACAAATTAATTGTACTACTTGTCTTGATGGGATATATGTGATTCGAAAAGTTAGTTGGAAAAACAAAAAAAAAAAATTAGAAAACGAGTTTATGGATACAATTATAAAAATTCCCAAGTAATTGGCTATACAAACACACTGAGTAGTATTATTGTATTTTGATGGGAAATTATTGGAAAAAAATTTTAAGTAATACAAATGTAACACTTTTATAATTTGATATGTGTAAAATAAATAGATAATTAAAAAAAATTGAAAAATTTTACTTATGAGGGAACTATTTATTTATTTATTTGCAGATAATGCCCTACCAAAGTAGTGGTTGTGGTATATTACTATTGAAACGCGTTCATATGGTGGTTGTGGCATATTACTCAAATAGTTCAAATGTGTCTATTGCGACTCATTCTCTTGGAAAAGATACGTCTATTAAATTTTATACAAGAAAAAAACTAAAAGCGAGTTTGTCATATTGGTTTGGATAAGAGACTACTTGACAAAAAATAGAATAATTATTGTATTAGTATTTTTTGTAATATGACATATATAAAATAAAAAATATTTTGAAAATATATTTGTGATTCATGCAAAAAAAAAAATCCAAATAATCACATATCCAAACACAGTCATTATTATTTAACAAAAAATTTAGCTGCAACTTTTTTTTTTATTTTTTGGCAATTTTTTATCTCACAAATATTACATTCACTATTACTGTAATTTTTTTAAAATTAATGTTCCATGCAAATGCATTTGAACCAAAAGCATCCTGCAAGTTGTTCTTCAAAAATAATTTATTAAAATGTTTTAAAAGAAGGTATAACTAAGTGGAAGACAAAAAATAACTTTGAACAAAAAGCCTAAATCCAGTATTTGTAAACAACCATTGTAAAGAGAATTAATATTTTATACATTGACAGTGTATACACCATCACCATTGGATGCATGATAACTCATTTGAATTTAAATTTAAATGTCAAATTTTTCTCATGTGTTATGTTTCAAACTGTGATAGTGTACACACTGTTAGTGTATATAAGAATTTTCTCTTATAAAAAATAAGATATAAAAAGAGTTATTTATAGTAGCTTTGGAATGTGGTCTAGTAACTAAAATTCAAATCCCAATAATTAGGGGTCATGTTTTCAAATTCCCTTTTTCTCTTTTCGCTCTCATTCTTCTCCTATTTCTTTAAGATATTTGATCGAGCCAAAATATTTTATAATAGTATAAATATATCAACATCGGCAAATAGTAAGTTGAAACATGACTAATTACTGTAGGGATTAATTGATGTTGGAGATGTATTAAGCTTTATTGCAATCCAATCATTGAGTAGACTCAATGGTCAAGAAAAAAATTTTAAAATTATTTTTTATTCATAATTTGAATTCTATACCTAGCAGTTGAGGGTCGGCTGGGTGTGGCAAAGGGTGAGAAAGTTTTTTTTTTTGTTTGTTGGGAGGAAGGGGGAGAGGGTTTTGATTGCAATCCACGGTGAAAAATGCAGCATGTGCACGTCAAAGGTTTATCTCTTATGTGCCAAATTACTATAGGTGCTCATAAATCCAGATGGTATACGACAATTGTTCATGAATGCAGACAGGCTGCTTTAGATTGGCCAACAATCATATAACTTGTGCCCTCAATCCCACAAGACGTGTCAAATATGCACTAGGGAAAAATTAATTAGGTTTCTCTTTAAAAAAAAAAAAAGAAATTTGGGATTGGGAATTTAGATATGGTCAGATGAACTTATATGGTTGGAGTTTTCTCTCAAAAAAGAAAAGAGGGAAAAAAATGTCGAGTACATCCACCAGAAAAATTCTCAACCAAAAACCGGCACAAGCACTACTTAACAGTCCATCAATTCGAAGAGATGCCTAGCATTTACTGGGTGGTATAAAGCCTGCTTTAAGGAGAATTGGATGCCAAAACAACTGTTTAAACTTTAAAGCATATAAACAACATGGGTCAAACCCAAAAAGTGGAACATTTCAACCAGAAAATGTGGCAAAGCAAACATGATCGGTCTGGGTCGAAGCACGAATTTAAGCAATGAAAGGAAAAGTTTATACCTTTAAAATTTTTAATCATCTCCTAATTTGCTTTCAGGGTCATGATGACCCGTCTAATAAGAGTAGTTTACCAAGCACTCGTTAAAATATAATTCGTGTATTAATACTTTTAAAATATAAAGTTAAATAAGGAAAGCTTATGAATACAAGAAAATAATCATTAGTTTGTATATTTATACGAAACGTCGTTAGGCGTGATTTAAACATTTTAACAAGTATTTATTGGGAAAACAAAACTTTTCTTTTAAACCAAAGTTCTTATAAATGATGTGACATGCTACACCTAAAAACTTTCCTCCTAATAAAGTAATCATCAACAACTGAGCTTTACCGCCGAGCTTACCTCTCCGTTACCTAACGGGGTGAGAGGTCAGGGTTCAATTTTTTGTCTTCCATCAAATTATCTATTTTTTATGGACAATTCGGTTGATCTCAACAAATCTCTTTAGAAATTGGTGTACAGTGCTCGCAAGGATCCGAGTCCTGTGATTATCGTATTTTGGAGGATTATCGAAGCGGGATTAGTCGGGCCCGTAAGAATTTGACCCGGACATTCACTCAGTCAGCAGCAAAAAAAAAAAAAAAAAAGAGAGTAATCATCATCAAGAATAAAAAGGAAAGAATAATCAAATCCACATTGCTAAGTTACAAACCCGAGAATCTGATTGAACAGAAATGCATGGTGCTCCAATCAAGAATCTGATTTCTCTATTTCTCCTGGCAATTATATAATTCGCGAACAGTTCCAAAAAGGAAGACAACTATATATAATTGCATCTATTCCCTTGGCCTATTCTCTCCAAATTTCCTTTCCCAGACTTACGTACGCATGATGATCAGAATTTTAACGCAAAGATAAGGGTACAACTTTTGCACCATAATTGAGGACCAATTAGAGAAGTTTCTTGTAATGTAATCCCCAAATTAGACATAAACCAAAGGAACCAAGATGTACCTCTAATGACGTGCTACCTACTAGTAGTAGTGTCTAGTAATAGGATTAATTGTAGCAGACACTTAACTGACGATATGAGTACTTCCATTAATATAGCAGGGTGAAAAATCCCCCGAGCTTTAGACTTTAAAGTGTACTTTCTTAGCTAAAATCAGTGATTAAGGCCGTATCCGCCAACCATAAATATCTTGTTCTTTGGCCTTTCGATAGGAGAGGTACAACTTTTTCCATGCACGGCTGGTCACAAACACTCGTGTATTCGCATTTAAGTGTCTATGTAAATCATGAGATTCTAATTTATAGTAATTAGCACTCCGTGTTTGGCTTACTATCTATATATATGTTTAGCTGATGCTAATGAAATAGTGGAATGAAGAAAGCTTCAAATGTTCTTCATCAGAAAAGAAACACATATAGCTTTAAATGCTTGGATTGATGATGTTTTGCAGAAACAACGAAAAAGGAACTTTTTGAAAAGCTTCCCAATTACGTTGAGGAATTAATTCTATTCCGCTTTGAGCGAATTTTTTAAAAGCTTTCCAGAGTATATTTAGGAACAAAAATAATTGCATAATAGTTTTTGAGATATAAGTTATGTAAAATAAAAATTATTTAGAATAAGTTAGTTGAGAATGTGCTAAATGAATAATTTTTTAAAATTTTTTTTCCAAAGTTGCAATCCAAACAAACTCTCTTTTTTTTTATTATCTTAAATATAATTATATTGAAAAAATGATATTTGCACTACTTTTCAATTAGTCTCTAATATTCGTTGAGAGTTATATTTTTAATGAATGAATTAGAGTGTCAGATGCTAAATAAAACGTACGAATATCAATTATCTTTACTAAAATATCTTTATTGACAATAATATGTAAATCGAAACAATAGCATTTACAGTAGTACTTCTACCTCCCTAAAAAGGAAAGATGAAAAAAAAGCCCTGGCCAATTTGCTGCTAATGCTATAGTACAACAATTTGCATCGAGAATTAGTTCTTGACTACAGCTACTCGTGCAAGCAAGAATTTCCAAGACAAGAAACTTTTGAACCCACAAATTGGAATTTCATTTCAATCTCTCTCACTATATTAAAAAACAAAGAGAGTCTCATGACAAATTATTCGCCGTCAAATCTAACGACGTTAAATCCCTCCCATGTGAAAAGCCCAAAAAGTCTTTGTTGTTAACACGGCAATTATCACCTTGGCAATCATTGTCCTCCTACTGCTACGACTACTACTACTACTACTACTACTACTTGCTAGTAGTAGTTGCTACTACTGCTGCACAGCTGCTCCAGCTACCTTCGCTCTTGCCTCCCCAAACCGCCCCTACGCCACTCCTTCTCTAGATTCTCGCCTGAAAATCCATCGGAATCTCGCCGGAATAGTTATACTGTCCATAGTTCAGAAGGGTTCTTCTCGATATCAAGATCTGGTTCCAAGTCCAACTTTCATTGTATCTTCTTTCTTTGAGGTAATGAACTAGCTCAGCTAGTTAAATTAATAACTTTTTCCGGTGAAAATTTGTTTTACTTAAATCTTCTTATCTTTGACACTCTATTTAAAGTCCCTGTCTGATGTAGTGTTTCTTTTCTTTGTTGTTCTTTTTTTCTGCCCCTGAAAGTTCAACTCAATCTTCTCGATTCTTGAATTTATGCATTTTCACTTCATTCAAAGTGAATAATGTCTTTTTCTAGCTCAGGTAAGTGTTTAAACCATCCCTTCCGTGGTAGCTTCGCGTGTTAGAACCCCAGCTTCCCGGCTTAGATCCATTCGTGTAATATCAAAATTTAAAGGATTTTTATGATCCGAAGATTGAATAAATTCCCACAGAAGCCGCTTTTTTTTAAAAAAAATTTAATCTGTTGATGAAAAACGTTGAATGTCCACACTATTTGCTTGATTTCCACGTTGCCTGACTTGGTTTTACCCAAACGCCCATATTCTAGTAGGTTAACGTGTTGAGTTTACTATTTTCTGAAGCTTTTGTTTAGTTTTCTGGTGAAAGTTTTGGTGGTAGAAGCAAGTATTTCTTGACAAGGTGGAACTGCAGCACAGTGAATGCATTTAGTTACTGTGTATATATAGAAAACTTTGAAGAATGAGCCATGTAAAATAGTGTTGCTTGGCCCAGAAGGCTAGGTCTTTGACAACAGCTTCAAATAAAAAAAGGTTTCAAAATGGCAAACCAGTTGTTTAAATTTCAGAGTTCTTTTCTGCACCTTTCTCCTTTAGTATCATCAGTACTATTACTCAACTCTCAAGGTCCAAAATTTTCTTCTTCGTTGGCTTCTGTTTGCTTTTTGTTTCTGGTCGTCTGATGATATTGGTACTCCAGGATACTCCATTTCCTAACAGCTACAATCCTCCACATGGTCTTCATCAATTCACTTCATTTATTGCCTAAACCTGCTGCAAGTCTACGTGACTTCTCTCTCTCTCTCTTTCTCTTCAGTGGAATTCCTGTGCTGTATTTGTCCCTTACCAGCTATGCATTCTTGTTCGTTCTTGTACACTAGATGATATTTCCATCGGATTTGGATCGCATGCAGCAGTTTCTTTGGATCTCCTTGGACCATTTTCTTGCTGAAGGTACGAAGAACTCATTTTAGGCCTTCATTTACGATAACAATGAGATGAGTGTGTGGCATTGGAGAAGTGGGATTTTTTGGGAAAGGTTATGGAGACAGGCAACTTTAGGCCTGAACTGCATGTAGCACAGCAAAGCCGTCGTGATAAGTTGAGGGTTCAACACCATCCTAATCCGTGTAACCAAAATGTGGAAGTCTATGCAAATCAGTTGGTTCCATTTTCTACCCATGAGGGTCTAAACCCGGATCTCATTCAGCTTAGAAGTATTAGGTATGGAAATTTATCGTATGAACCGCTAGTATTTTCATCTGAAATGCTTGATTTTTCCACAAATTCGCAAGCTTTGTTAGCTCACAGTAACAAGGATGTTACAATGTTGCATCAAGAATCGAAGCGGATAGCCGGTGATGTAGAAGATCCATCTACCAATCTGTCCAATACTCTCCCATCAAATGTCAATTCTTCAGCTAAAGTTAGTGGTGACCCACAAAATTGTAGCACTTGGAAAAGCATTGGTTCACAAGAGAGCTGCGACTGGATTACTAATTATACAAGTGGATCCGCTGGAGGCATTGATAGCAATCACAACCCAATTTTTGTCGGAGGAGGCTTGTCTGGTTCTTTGAAGGCTAATAACAATAATCCTTCTACTTCCACAATATACTTCAATAAGCCTAGTTCTTCCTATGGCAATCATCATGAGATCCGCTCATCTTTGACTAGTCCACCTGGTGAAATTTCTAGCCGTAACAGCCCCAAAAATCATGTTGGTCATGGGCATTTCAACTCGCCTTCAGTTTACCATACTGCTAATACTTTTCAAGAAGTTTCCTCTGCCACTATTATGACACAGGAGCTAGGAGTGGCAGCTATTGCTCAACAACACAGTAAGGAAATTGCTCATGTTTCATGGCCGAATGGTGGAAACGAGCTTGTGCTCCTTCCAGCCTATGCTGATCATTCAAACCCTTTAGGCCTTAAGCATGGTTCTGGTGAATGCCGTCGATGGAATGGTGAATTAGAATACTGTGCAAGTACTAAGAATGCTGCAGAGAGAGACCATAGATCAATTGCAAATGATAGTCCTAATACTCAGGCCTTGTCTCTATCACTTTCGTCGGTTCCGTTGTCCAAATCATATGCATGTCAGACTGGGGAGAGGATTATGTCTGAAGATTTGCATTCAGGAGCTGGTTGTTTTAGCAATATTCAAGAGATAAAGGCCTTGAAGTCTGACTATCATTGTTTTGATTCAAAACCATCATATCATGGTAAAGTCTTGGAAAGTGCTCAACATGATATGGTGGGAAATCCAACTTTTGCTCATCGGGCTGCAGGTCCACTTGGTCCATTTACTGGCTATGCAACCATACTGAAAAGTTCAAAGTTTCTAAAGCCAGCCCAACAGCTATTGGATGACTTCTGTAATGTTTTCGGTCCAAAATGCACCAAAATGCCAGAGCCACCAGAAAGGATTTCAGCTGAGATTAGGGCCTGTGATAATGCTGTCAATGCTAATGAATCCATTATTGGAGCTTTGGCTGGGGATTCTGGTGGCTCATCATCTACATTCTACAGTTCCAATGAAAAGACACAGGATCATGGAGGTTTAAGCAGCCCAACTGAATCTTATCGGCCAGACTATCTTCAAAAGAAGGCAAAGCTGTTGTACATGCTGGAGGAGGTTTGTAACCTTCTTTCCTGTCATTATCTGGATTCTTAATATGCTTTACTGGTTATGTAGTTTGGTATTTGAATATGATAATTCTGGAACTCGACGTCAAGCAAAAAACACATTCATGCATTGACAAGAAAAGAGAGCTCACTAAAATTCCTACAAAACTAGGGTGAGTATTTGTTGTTTTAGTGGGATCAAAAGTTCTCTATTAGCCAGAAACTTTCCGTTTTTCTCCTATCCCCCACATCAAAATCACAAGCCTACATGACTTTTGTTCTTTAGTGGCAATGAGGACGTTTTTGGTACTTATCTAGAAATAGCCTCCTAGCTACTAAACTTAGGGGGTAAGCAATTATTGTAAGGAAGTCTTTTGGTGCTATATACAAGCTGTACTGGATGATATTTTTGGATTGGTGGTCTGAGATTGCTGAAAATGTATTTGTGATTAAAGTTTGCATTAATTTGTGTACCCTCGATATTAACAATTCGACGTTTTGCCTATGGTAATAGTAGTATTTCAAGGACATTGCAGTCTACAATTTTAGATTCAACTAAGTAAAATATTGTTTTAGCTGTACGATACTGAGATATGGAGTAATATCATAATGTTGTTTATTCTCAAAAGCCAGTACAAATGTGAACTTCTTTTTGGAATGTCTATCGATGTAAGATTCAATTAAAATTTCTTCCATAATAGTACTAGTGTATAATCAAGATCTTTCTTTCTATTATTCTTACTCATTTATTGTATTTTTTTTCATCCTTGATTTTCTTGTGCACTATTCTCTTTCCCAATTTTATTATCTTCATTGGCAAATGGGCCCCGGGAAACACAGTAAGTCTGTTAGCCTGTAATACATCTAACATAATTAAAAGAAACAGCGTGCTAACATCTAGAGCTACCATGTATGCATAGATATTTGCCAATGTTTGGAGCCTATATTTATGCATGGCTGCACGCTAGATTGATTCATCATGCATGTTTTTTCAAATTCCTCTATGCTTCTTAGCCATCAGTAGAATATCTCAATATCATGACTTAACAAAAATCATGATCTGCTGTGACTTCTACATCGTTAACTGCTGTTACATATTTCTGCTGTGCTGTAGCTGCAATATATTCATGCTAGAATTCAGCTTTTGACATCTACATCTGCCTTGTTTTTGAAAGGTATGCCGAAGATACAAGCACTATCATCAGCAGATGCAAATGGTTGTTTCATCCTTTGAGTCTGTGGCAGGTCTTACTGCAGCCACCCCTTTTATTTCTCAGGCCTTGAAGACTGTTGCTAGGCATTTTCGGTGCATAAGAAATGCAATCTCTGACCAGCTAAAAAATGTAAGGAAAGCTCTTGGAGAAGACTTGGCATCCCCTACAACTGGCACGAGCAGTAGTAAAGGTGACATCTGTACATCAAGGTTGAAATTGATGGATCAGACCTTCCAGAAGCAGAAAGTTGTTGGAGGAAATGTGGGTTTCTTTGAACCCCAACAGCATGTTTGGAGGCCCCAAAGGGGACTGCCAGAACGTGCTGTAGCTATTCTTAGAGCTTGGCTTTTTGATCACTTCCTTCACCCGTAAGTCCACAATTTTTTGGACCTGGAAGAACCATTCATTGACTCTCAATCTAACTGAAAATGAATCTCATCTGTTATTTTAGGTATCCCACTGATGCAGACAAGCATATGTTAGCCACTCAAACTGGATTAAGTCGAAATCAGGTATAGTGAGCTCTTGATACATTTACATGTTAGAGCAAGAAGAGAGGGTAGGTGATCCCTCTCGCAGTTCTTCCTGTTTTACTTTGGTGTTGTGCCGTCAAGTTGTTACCTTTATTTCTCCTAACCAATGAGTGGAGACATAATGTGATATCAGCTTCATCTAACCCTAGCTAAACAGATGTCCAATTTGCAATATGATCTGGAGAGCAAAGATGCTGCAATAATAAGGATGGGCTAAACGATAATGGAAAAGAAAAGAGAAAAATGCAGCATAACTAAAAGATATACCGCTTTAGAATGGTTTTCCTTCCAATTTCTCATCTTACATGCTACTTTAGCGTGTTATTTCGGTTCAGTATATGGCATTTGGATGAGCATCTTTGGATTGTAGAAAAAGCAATCCTATCATCTGTTTGTGGTAGATAGATTTTACTCATACAGTAACCATGTCCTTGCTCTTTCCTTTGAGAACTAAATTTTCTACTGCCAGATTTAATTCTAATTCTGGCTTGATCTATTTTGTGAAGTTTGAGGTATTTCATAAGAAGTTCATATGTAGGATCTGAGATTAAGACTTGACCCTAGCACCGTCATTTTCCTGTGAGGAACATCCTTGGCCCCCTATATTATTGGGTACCAAAGGAAGTGATGGGGCTTGTATCAGATGGCATTTTGCAGTGGAAAGAAAAGTTGCAATCCTCTAACTTGTAGACCAGGCTCACTTTCTTTTAACTCCTTTTGGCTAATGTTTAGCTTGGATTTGCATTTCAGGTTTCAAATTGGTTTATCAATGCTCGTGTTCGAGTGTGGAAACCCATGGTTGAAGAGATACACACGTTGGAAACTAAAGGGACTGCAGAAACAGGTGCAAGTGTGGGAAAAACTGATGGAAAGGCTATGACTGAAAGTGTTAGCCGATCAAATGATAGTCAGCCTCTGAATAGGCTCAACGCTGGTAGATCATCTGAAAAGCAGGTGGAGTGTTCGGATGTTGGATCGTCGGTATATATGGGATCTAGAATGAATGATGATACATGGAATCAGAAACGGAGTCGAGTTGAATGTCATGTTCCTGGAAGCATGGATGGTTCATTGGTGGGCTTCGTGCCATACCAGCAAAGCGGAATTGAGATTGGAGGGCTTGGAGCAGTGTCCCTGACATTAGGTCTCAGGCAAAATGCAGATGGTGTGCAACCACAGCATCCATTGCAGCAGCAACATGAAAATCAGCTAAGGCGACATTTTGGAGATCAGATAATTTATGATTTTGTGGGTTGATTTTTGCTTGTTATGGCTGTCTTCAGGGATTTAGATGCAAAATAGTAGCACAAGGTGAAGTACCATTATTTACTATGGTGCTGCACAAGGCATTTATCAAGTAGATTATTTCCTTTTTTCTTTTTTTATTGGAAGTATGCTTCAAGTAGACTGTCCCAGATGAAAATCGATTATCAACCAATTGAAAATCAATCTCGACTGAGAATGTACTTATATGCTAATGTTGCTTGGATGTGGGAAATATATCATTTCCATAATTGATCAAAAGTAATTAATGAAGTCCAAAACACAACTTTGTAGTATTGCTGGGTTCCTGTAGGCTGTAGCCCCTATTGCTTTCTTAATATGTGGCATTTTCTTTTTGAGGAATTTATCAGCATTCTCAAGTTTTGCAGCTTTTATCTTTTAACCTGCAAAATTTAAATGCGTGGATTGAATCCTTCGGATGTTCATGAAAATACCCTTTTTTCCTGCGTGGGTGGTCTCTAGCATTTAAAGAAGGAAAAAAAAAAAAAGAAAATCAAACGATGAGTTTTATGCATTTAGAACAGGGGTTGCAACTGCAAACTTCTGTTTCTCGTCAACAAAAAGAACAGATGTCCAAACCATTTTGTAGTCGTAATTAAAATTCTTCTATTCCCGCACCACACTCGGAAAAATCAAAATAAACAAATAAATTACTTTCTATTCTTGTGATTTTATATTTTACTATATAATTTTTTTTATAGTTTAAAAATTTATACATAACTCTCTCATGATTTGAATTAAAGTGTTGCTATTAGTTTTTTCATTAATACTAATGGTCAATATTAAAAAATTAAAATAAAAATAATAAATTATTAAATTCACTCTTCACTATTTTTTCCCAAATACAAAAAAGAATAAAGAGAATTAAAAAAAATAGATAAATAAGAAATAGGAATCTTTAATGGCTGCAAATTTTTAATGTATTTTTTATTTCTTATTTATCTATTTTTTTTTCTTTTCTTCTTTTTTGCATTTGGAGAAAACTTTAGTGGGCCAAAGTACTATTTGTAAAATCATCTCTACCCTTCACAAAGAAAAACAAGAGAAAGAAAAGGAAGAAGAAAAAAAGAAAAAAAAGCAGTGAAAGGGTAAATTTATCAATTTATTAGTTTGATTTTAAATTTTTTAAATTTTGACTGTTAATTTTATCAAAAAAAATTAACAATAACACTTTATCCAAATCATGAAGGGTTACGTATAAGGCTTTGTTTGATAAGCTGATTCAATATTTAAACTTAATGGGTTTGATAAAAAAAATAGAACATCTGAATTAATTAAGTAATGCTAAATTTTCTAAATAAAACTCGCACCAATAAATAAGTGATAATTTATTCACTTATTACTTATCACTTAATGTGATTGTAGTATCCTAAATCGGTGGAATAAAGAGGAAAAGAATGATTTAAGGACATGGGTGCTTAGGATACATAGTAATTTTGGATTAACCATTTTGGGTCTGTGGATTTCGGTCCAAAAATTGATTGGGTTAGCCCTTGGTCTCGGATTGTGATAGTTGATATCAGAACGAATATCGTGTTGTCTCTGTATGGGGGTGAGTTTGGGCCAGCGGGTTATGGTTTTGACTGTGCAAAAGGAGTGTAAGGAGCTAAGTGCCATGTCATGCGGGGGTCACTTCTAAAGGCCTTACGAATCTAGAATCAGATCATAATCAAGTGGACAGTTTGAATTCTGATGAATTTTGCGAGAACGCAAAGTTCTAAAGGTGGGGATAATAGAGTATCCCACATCAGTGGAATGAAGAGGCAAAGAATGGTTTAAGAACTTTGGGTGTTTGGATTACATTATAATTTTGGGTTAATCATTTTGGGCAAGTGAATTTTGGTCCAAAAATTGTTTGGGCTAGCCCCTGGATCCGGATTGTGATAGTGACAGTTTTCACTTATTACTTATCACTTAATGTAATATTATTCAAATGTATCAAATTAGTATGGGTAAAAAACAAAAAATCCCCTGTGATAAACCTAATATACAAAAAAGCTCCCCTGATTTTAAAACGTACAACACGACATCCCATGTTTTGAACTAAATTGTAAAGGTGACGGAATTCTTTAAAATTAATGGGGACAGATGAAATGACAAAAATGCCTTGATGCAACTAAACAAAAGATAGTTCAACAAAATCATTTGTTTCATTCTTTAGAGAGAGAGAATTGGGAGATAAGGGGTAGAACGTGTATATTTGTTAAAAATAGGTATAAAAAATTTGTTTTTAGATTCTAATAAGTTAATTCCATTAATTTTAATGAATTCATCATTTTTACAATTTAGTTCAAAGCACGAGGGGTAGTTTTATACGTTTTGAAATCATAGAGGACTTTTCTGTATATTAGCTCTATCACAAGGGATTTTTTTGTTTTTTATCCAATTAATATTTAACAATTTAGTAATTTAATAGATTCAAATTTCAAATTCAATTTTTAGATTTCAGTTTTATCAAATACAGAGTTTTTAAAGAACAAGACGGTTATGTGGTAAAGTACCAATTCATTGGAGGATAAAAGGTAGTTTATCCATAAAATAAAAGACAAAATGAAAGGAAATTTGTTTTAAAACTGCCCTGTCTATATCCTGAAAAAGGTTTAGTAGGTCATTGACCTACCAGACACCAAACACTCGGTGTTTTGTGGCCCATTGTGCTCCATTATCGGGCCTAGGCCTAATAGTCATAGAACTATTCATGCATCCTCAAGCAAACCCCGGGATCTCTATGGTTCAATTGCGATATGTTTTTTAAGCCGTCTGAGGTCCACCACTACTGCACATTCGTGCGTCTGAAGGACCGCTTTGGGCTGGAAACCAGAAACAAGTCCAGAAACCAACTTGGGTTTTTCTTGTCAAAACCTTGAGAGGAAGAATCCATGGGATCTTAAGAACGTTGAAACTCCACCAACAAGGAAATGAGCCCGTCGAAATTAAACTGTGTCATTAACGAACTAAACGTTGCCTGGAAATGTGCAAAGAGGCTTCACTTTTCTGATTTGGTTCTTCAATATTCAACTCAAATGTTGCCATAGAATTGATTGTGGGATTGTTCTTCATGCTTGCTGCAATTGCGTTACAGCGTTATATTTTTATGTCAAGATAAATTCTATGTACTAGCACTAATCTAGTTCGTAAAATTTACTCAATAGTGTTTAGATTCGTTGTCTATTTGTAGTGTAACCTATAAATATAGTCTACTGTACTATTATTATTATTAGGGTCTTTTTAATGGGCACCCATTAATACATCTATTCTATTTGTAGTTGTAATTTTGTCGCACAATTCCAAATCTATTTGTATATTGTCTTTTTTACTCCGAATGAATATAATTCACCAATTGTCCGTTACAAATCCAACTCAGATTATTCTCCTCAACTAATAATGAAAACACATAATCATTGATCTTGAAGACAAAAATTACCACGCGAACTTCTCTTCATTATGTTTTGCCTTTTCTTTTCCTCAAGTTTGGACTAAAAGGAAATCAAAGATTTTATTTTCTTTATTTACCATGCATGCATGCATGCATGCGCCATAGCCACAGCCATTTCATATACTAGGATACATGAGGATTATTCTTCATAATCGATTATTGACAAACAGATAACCCTATCGTGCAAACGTACTGATGGGAAAACTCCACCCTCACTGATTTTAGTTTTAACTGGAAATAGGAAATAACTATATATAATCTTCATTACTAAACTTCCCAAGTACTTACGTAGCTAATTATTCTTAGTTCTTGCGAGCGTCCGAGTCATCACCTCCCATGGAGCCACCTCCGCTGTGATTGTTGAAGTCCTGCCTTGGCAAGTGATGGTGATTATCCGCGCTTGATCCGGAGTTATCATCGATTTTACCCTCATCATTTGCGACCAGAAATCTCTTCTCTTGCTCTTGCATCTCGGCCGGCATGACTTTTCTGCTTGTAGCCACATGAGAACTGATCATTACAAGTAGGAAAACGACTAGCAGATGCTTCATTCTTCAGATCTTCAACCCTGTAAAGCTGCTGTCAATACTGATGCCGTGAAATGAAGATAATAAACAAAAAAATCGAACCATTCATGACGCATGCATATATACATGCCAATGCTAGGAGGATAGACTATAGATTAGAGCTTAACTGATCATATATATGAACAACTACATATAGATGAAGGTCGAAAAATTCACTTACACAACTTCAACTCTTCAAGGATGAAGTAACGAGAATCCAAGTATGATGTGAGGCCTTTGTTGTTGTACAAAGAGCAAAGAGGCGGATTAGGGCTTATATAGTTACAATTTGGATAAATATTGCGCGATGGAGTCCCCACCAAACGAGGCAGGAATAAGTGGACTTGCCATATTACACCAATAAAAGGAATATTGAAAGATTAAAATGATCAAGTTGAGGAAATATTTTGTCCAGACATGAACAATAATAGTAAAATCCACCTTAAAAGTGGTTGATGATGAACACTACGTAGAGTGGAGTGCCTGTTCAGTTGTCTTTTCATGTCGAGGCATGGTTAGAGGCAAGAGGTAAAACTTCATTTAGGGGATTTGGGGTTCTTAATTTGGGTGGCTTGTTAATTCTGTTCGACTCCATGATTGCATTTGACATGTTGCTCTTTCATTTATCTATTGGTTAACAACTAGGCCACTCGCGATTGCATCAGGTGAAGAAAATGAGGTTTTTCTTCGTGTTATCTTTCATGTCAAAATGAAGTTGCAAGATTAAGTTTACAAATCGCGGTTCTTAAGATATTTGAGAGGTGCCTCGTGATATCTGACTGCACGTATTCATTCTTTTCCTTTTTCTTACACTACTTCATTCTCATTTTTCTTCAAGAAAAAAAAAAATTTCTGAGATTTTTTTTACTGTGAAACCTGTCAGCCTTCCAATGGCCTTGCAAGCCCTTAATCATTGTTTTAGATGTAGAACCGTATAGGTAACAGCTGATCAAATAAATAGTCAGATAGCATATCTGCTAAATTAATTTTCTAATCTAATGTGCTCCAAGAACACAAGTCACGGTGATTCTCATAATGCCTCCTTGAATGGTTTTGAAATGGTTTTGACTTTTTGGACACCCTTCAAATCAGAGAAAATCAAATCAGTTTCCAAACAATTATTTATTCCAATGCTGTGAAAACTTGCCACAACTCCTAGATTCTGGAAATTTCAAGAATTGGTCGTGAGAAGAAACAAGGGCTGCAATCCTTCTTGCTTTCTAATTCTTTTCCACTTAGTTTTTGAGGGAACTAGCTTTCTCGGTTGTCCATACTAGCGTGGATCAGTGATAATTGTATGGTACTGATCTGATGTTATGGTATAGATCAATAGTTCAAACTCGGATTACCAAAATTCATTTTTCACATGCGTTATAATGTATTGCATCAGTTGCATGGACAATCTCATTCTCAAAGCTTGACTGTTAATTTGTTATTCATATTCGTCATTCGGTTCATATTCTTCGACTGCATCATTTGTGAAGCATAACAGGCAAGGGAACAACCGGGGTAGGATACTTACAATGTTGGGTTACTAATTAATGTGAATTCTTCGTTTATGACATGTTGTAAAGTTTAGGTTGAAAATTTAGCAATAGATAGTGAAACATAAAGCCCCAAAAGGCAGAAGCTGGCCCGTTGAGCCATCTAACACATGGCTTCCCTTTCGTTTGTTTCAAGAATTCTATCAATGACATGCACCCATATGGGTCCTCAATGTATTGCCACTAGAAATCAAGATAAGATAGTAGGATAATTAACATGAACAAAATATTTGATCGGGGAATATAAATGGGAAGATGCTTGAATTTAAAAAAAAAAAATCGAAAAATGCTTTGAATGGGTGAGTGGAATTTTGCACACTAAATATTCTTTGTTAAAAAAAAAAATAAATGTATCAATAATGACAGTAAGAAATAGGCATTGGCAGCATGCAGATGCGTAGAGAGCACTCAGAAGTCAGTATACTACAGTTGCAGTACAAAAGGAAATGATTCCAATTAATTAGTGAGCAGGTAGCTGGGCTTAAGAGGAATTCCCCATGATTTGTAAGTTTGAACTGTAAAGAAGAAGTTCTGACCATGTTGAAGTTTGAATGGATGCATAATTTCTCATTCTGCACCAAAATATTGAAGGCATTGTTCAGTGTTATTTCCGCCAGGGAACCATTACCACAAGGTCCACAACAACTATTGGCTCCACCTTTCCATCTTTGGAACAGTATTAAAGAACATGTACCAGCTTTACATCTTTGGGCACTCAGAGATGGTTTGCAGCCGGCAAAAGAACTCAACGTCTCCTCACTTGAAGTGGAACTGGACTCTTAAAACTTCTGGTTTCATTTCTCGAGCAAAACTCCTCCAAATTCTCATGAGCTTTTCCCCACCTTATCTAAATGTAAGGAGCTGTCGACTACATTCCACTAAGTATTATAATTTTCATGAAGCGAACAGGTGTGCAGGCATGCTAGCTAAAAGGGGAAGAAGGCAGTAATGATTACATCCAGTTTTTGATAGTTATCCAGATTTTGTACTTCCCCTACCTTGGGATGATTTAAGGTCACTCGGATGACTATATATTAAGCTAATTACTTTGTTCATGACTATGTAGACCTATTTCTTCTCAATGCATCTTTAATTACCAAAAAAAAAAAAAAAGGAACATGTACCGTTCAATTTTTCATTTCCTTTCCTGAGAAATATTCAATTTGTAGGAGAGAGAGACATCGCAGAGTAACAAAAACCAGAGGAAAAAACTTGTATTTCCACATACGTGCAAATTGGCTACTTGCTATAGGGCAATATATAGTTCCCTGAGCCCAGACTCGCCTCTCCACAAAGCTATATGTCTGTGTGTGACATATATATATGACACAATATCGCACTTAGGGTCTGTTTCGTTGGACAGAAAATATTTTCCCTTCCATCGAAGTTATTTTCCTGGAAAATCACTTCCTTCTCCATATTTTTCCAGTGTTTGGTTATTTAGTGAAAATATTTTCCAAATTCCTTTTACATAATTTTCCGGTGATTGGTTTGTCAGTGAAAATATTTTTTGACTTTCTTTTTTAATATTTGTTGATATGTTGCAAATGTTTTTCTATTCTCAAAACATTCATCTCATTACAAGTGTTTTTAGCTTCTATCCATTATAATCATATTATCATTTTTATAAAATATTTATTCAAATTACGCCATGAATTCTTAAATGGAATTATTAATGACACTAATGAATTGGTTTTTGATCTTCCTTTAAAAAAAAATCAATAAGGGGGTGAAGATCCCAGGCACCTTCACCTTATTCACTGAACGGTGGACGCAATAAATATATACATATACATATATATATACACATATACATATACATATACATATATATACACATATACATATACATATACATATATAAAAGACTCCAAGGCAGTAACCATGCCAGGAAAGCAATCAGGCAAGCAACGTGCTGCCCCTTATCCACATTATGAAGTATTAATATCTTGGACTTCACAAAATTTTATCTAAATAAATGGCAGCTGTTCCATCAGATAGATATAGCATCTTTCACTTGATGGTAATGCATTCCGAAATGAACTGATATTTGGCCAAAAACAGAAATGGAGCAGTCATCATTCTGCAACCGCCTGTGTATGCATGCACAAGAGAATTTAACACAAATTTGAATCAGTCGAGAGCCTGAATGGCCATAGTGCTCTCTAACAGAAACATGAGCAGCCAATTGATTGATTTGTGCTATGGTAAGAGCCAATTCAAAAAATATTAGATCTATCAGATCAATAATTACAGTACAACCTTCTATGGAGCTCAAAAGCAACAAATGCACCCATCAGGGTTTAAATCTCGTCAGCAAACAGAAGTTGAGTTTACAGTCTGAGGACTAGAGAAATTTACAAAGTTAGATCCAGCCCGTCAAACCATATCTGTCAGCAAGATTGTACATTACGAGCTGATCCCAGGCATGCCCAAAAAGATGCTCTACTCCTATGGCAAAGGTAAGAGCCCACGAAGTGGGAAGAACAGTGAACGCCACGAACCCAATGGCTGATCCAGTTCTTAGTAAACGGGGCCTAATGCTTGAAGGTGCTTGTGCATCTGACTAGCCACATTGAATCCTCAACCCTTCAATGGAGAGAGCTTCAAAATTAGCCATTGCTAATGGAACAAGATCTTCCAAAGACACATAATCTGAATGTACTTTATCAGATATTGAGCCTAAGTTTGGAGCATTCTAACTGTGATCTATTACTTTTTGTGAATCTTTAAAGGGAGCTTACTATTATGTCAGAAGAAATTAACGATGCAAGAAAATCCCTATCGCTTGCAGTAAGGTTCCAAAATAATTGAACAGGCAACTGTAACATCAGAGCTTCATTATCTTTTCCATAGCTACCAACATTTTCAGTCTTTCTAACAAACCAGAAGTTTCTTCTTTTTCCCTTCTTTTTTTTTTCCGTTTTCCATCTTTCTTAGTGTTATATGCGTGATACAGGGTTCCAGAAAATCCCAGCAAAACTAATGCAACATAAATGCCATAAACAAATAGAAATCTGTAATAACAATCCTGCTCAATTATTCACTATCCTTTCCTTTTTTGAGTTTTCTTGGTCCAAAATTACCAGTAATAACTTGTACAGTGCTATCAGAGCTTCATCAAGCTCTGTACAATCTCCAAGAAACGAACACAAGCAAACCCAATGTGTGATTGTGTGTGTGTAGCAAAAATTATCTTAATGGGATACAAAAGTTATCAAAGCAAGAAACTTTTTCTGCAATTCCTTAAGGGAACAAAGCAGGTTCTCAAAAAAAAAATCAACAATAAACCCTACTATGCATAAATCAAGAAAACTGCCCACTCAAAACTAGAAATTCCAGTAAAAATACTACTAACGATCACTAAGCAAGCAATAAGTTTGACTCAACAGGACAATGAATTGCGATATAATCCAACCCTTCAAGAAAGTAGGAAAATAAATAATAGAAAATGATGAAAAGCTTCAGCCCAAGACCTGTAAGAAGAAGGATTAAGAGAATAGCCCAATTGAAAGAGTAGCCTACCTCAGGAAGTGGGTCTTCGCCGGAGCTGGAGGCGCTGCCGGCGAAAAAGGATTGGTTCGCCGATGAGTCGTCAATCGATGGTCTTCAATCGTTGAGAATGGGCATCTGCTGAAGTGGAAGAATGCCTTTAGGCCGTGATTTTAAGAAGAGGCCGTGCTTTTAAGAAAGGAAAATAACTTCAGAATAATAGATAAGGAAGTTTTTTTCC